GAAATGTATTGTTATATTGTTGATTACCGAGAAAGGTTTAATAATACTGACAGATGCAAGTCTCTGGCTGGTAATGTATCTAAAACCAAAATGATGTTTTTTCGTAAGTCAGGAAGATTATCACACGACCAAAATGGTACCTTAATGGTCAATTGTTTGATTATGTAGATAGTTTTCCCTACTTCGGTTTGCTGACATACTTTAGCGGTAACTTTGACTCTTCGCAAAACAGTTAGCGCCCTAATATAGGAAAGTAGTTTTCGCACTGAAACAGACTTGTGTACCCATATATTAGAATTTCTCCACATCATTAAGTCTATTTGACAAGTACATAGGAAGTGTTTCTTGTTACAGTAGTGAAGTATGGGAATTCCATACTGTCTCCGACTTACAAAACATACAATTAGGTTTCAGTACAAATTTTCTTGGAGTTAGACGGTCGACACCAAATGATGTGATGTACTTTGAACTTGGGAAAGTTCCGCTGTATCTTTTGCTTAAGTAAGGAATATTTAAGTGCTAGTGTGACCTAACCGCGACCTAGAATTGGATCTTAAAATGCTAGTACATGTACCGTATAATGATCTGAGATCTAAAAGTCATCAAGCCTTACTATCGATCGAATCCTTCTGTCTTTGAATTAAGTAATTTTTATCATCTTTTAACACAAAAGAACTATGTAATTTAGGCAAAGGTATACATTGTGCAACCAAATTAAGAGATCATTATTTAGAAAATTAATGGAATGAAATGAGAGGAAAAAGTTTAAGTTTAACACAAATGTTTTATCAATGAACTACTTAAGTTTACGTTGAATAAAGAGTACTACCTGAATAATTTGGCAGTTATGAAAAGTGTAGGCGTGATACTGTAGTCAATTCGGCTACTTATCCATGGGTGTGCGAGAGTCTGTGCCCCCGCCCCACCCCTACCCCTCCTCCGTTATATACTAGTCTGCTGCGGCGTACCTAGATAGATTCCTTACCCAGCCACCTGGAAATGTTGTTACCGATTTATTGATCCGTGACGTATGATTTTGCTGTGTGGAATGATCTGTAAGTACCGATTTATTGATCCGTGACGTATGATTTTGCTGTGTGGAATGATCTGTAAGTACCGATTTATTGATCCGTGACGTATGATTTTGCTGTGTGGAATGATCTGTAAGTACCGATTTATTGATCCGTGACGTATGATTTTGCTGTGTGGAATGATCTGTAAGTACCGATTTATTGATCCGTGACGTATGATTTTGCTGTGTGGAATGATCTGTAAGTGTCAATTTATTGATCTGAGACTGCAGGTGTTTTCGCTCTTATCTGTCTACTGAACTTTTTACCTTCGTGAGATCCGCGCTTTTCCGATGTTCATTGCATGTGATCGATACGCATTCAGAGACGTCCTCTTTGGGTGTTTTATCTTTAGGATGGACGAAGATATTTCGGAGAGTCTTGTGAAGTTTCATGGCTATTGCAATGCCATGACCACGGTAGCTCTCCTGAATGATTTCAGTTAAGTCTTTGTCATAAAGGATGATATCTTGTCCTTTCGTTTTGCTCTTTTCTTGAGTATTTCGTCTCATAGTCTTATATAAAATTCGTTGTTAATTTTCCTAATTGCCCAATCAGGGTATCACGTGATTTAATGGCGCTTTGGATGTGATTGTGTTCCTGCTTCTTGTCTTGTTCTTCTGTGACAGTCGTGTCACATCTGTTGAGCAAGGTTCGTACAACTTCTGATGTAAGGGGTGGTGCGATCGGAAATTAGGTATTGGGTAGTACCATCATCTTTCTTTAAAAGGAGGATGTCAGGAAATGGCACAGTGTCTCTATTTCTTCCTCACAGATGAATTTGATGCTTTTGATATCCTCAGTCAAATATTTCTGTGACCCTTTGTTTGACCATTTCCAATATGTCATTAACATACCGCTTCCACAGACCCGGCTTGCATTCTACAGGGACCGTGGCTATGTCCTATTTCTTCATGTGCTCCATGAATAAGTTGGTGACAATTGGAGACACTGGGCTACCAATGACTGTGCCAAACTGTCGCTGATAGATGATATCTGGGAAGGCAAAGTATGTTGTTTAAGCACAAACTCTAGTAATTCAATGATGTCTTGGAGACTGGTGTTTTCTAGAAGGCCCCTAATAATACTAAGTGCCTTGTCAATGGATGCATTGGTGGAAAGAGAGGGAAACAACGTACGTAGTGCTAGTACGCTCTGATGACCGTGTAGTCATCGAAACATCACACTCCAATCTTCTACTAGTTGTGTTATAAGATGAAGGTGACCGTGTAGTCGTTGAAACGTCACACTCTAATCTTCCACCGGTTGTGGTCAGCTGAAATTACCAATCTGATGAAAATGTTCCGAAAAATGACTTAGCTATGACGTTATTACGAAACACCAAGTCGTTATTGTGACATAATAGTTTTCCCGGTGACCCTAACAGGCTTCCGTACGATCGGCAAACATTACCCCTTTACGCTTCCGTACATATATGCTGATTTCCAATTTTTACCTGTTTTTATATAGTAACATCCATATCCTTGCCTCCCGAACCTATAGTGTTTATATGTCGCCATAGGTTCGATATTCACAGGTTTTGTTCCCAGTTTCACGATTCCTGTAAATGGTAACAACTAACAAACAGGTAAGTTTAATGATAACCATGGGAATGATTTGATTTCACCACCATAATACCATTAGAAAATTATCTATATTCTCGTGAGATAGAAAAGGCGTGAGTTCTTCGTGTCCGTTAGTATTTTTCTAATCATGGTCTCACTTGTTAACGTGGTATAGGGTAGGATTGTTTCCCGGGAAAACGAAAACTGAAAGAAAAGATTATAAAACGACGATGATGTTTATACAATGCAAAACATAGGTTATATATGTATATATTCAAGAATCGCTCGTAAACAAACACTCACTCGCTCCTAAACCAAGAAATACGAATGTATATGTAGCTTCACGCTTTACACGGTCACGGTGATGACGACTCAACGGATCATATGAAGACAACTAAACAGAGTTAAAACGACAATCGCCAACTCGCTACCTAGCTCAATCCAGAGACACTGGTAAAACTACCAAAACAAACAGCATCTTACAGTGCACTGTGTCCTCGATACCACAGCAAACCTCAATGGTTGATGAGTTCTCAGACGCACAGCCGCTTATCAAGTTGCCGACCAGAGCCTTTATAGTGACTTCCGCATATATTCATGGCTGACCTTGACCCTGGCGAAAGTTGATTATCCCGATTCCGATGACTGAGCAATATTGAGTCTGAACATCTGCCTGGTCCTGTCTGAACAGTTGAACCTGCCAGCCCGTCACGTGAAGCTACAATAGGTAAATAGATACAAATAATTAAACATATTAATACATTTCCATACTTCCCTAACATCTGGCATAGCATAAATCCTGAATACTAATCAAATGTGCCTCAATTAATTTACGTCGATGTAAGATATCTCTAACAAGCTACTAAAATATGTTTTGAATACGTTATAATAATTTGCGGCTCCAATTTATTCACGATATAACACAAACTCTGACAATATGCAAATTGGTAGATTACGGCTTCCATACATTTTTCACTAGTGCGCATACCCATTACTTTCAACACTGCGACAATAGAACAGGGCTTCCATACATTTATAAAATACTATAAACGCACGACAGAGATTACATAATTGCATATTCAACAATTAATTATGTATCTATAGTCCATATATAATAGTAGATACACACTTTATGAAAACGACAAATACAACTTATTCTACCTAACCGACAAACAATGGTCATGACTGACTGAATCGCACGTGCACAGATACCTAGATTGTTTGAAAGTTAACTTACCACAGTCTGTCCATTCTTGTTTCATTATGGTCTTAAACATAGTGTAGAATAAATTTGGTTTATTTCAACTGAAAATAAAGGCGAAAATATTTCCTGAATTTGGGTCCGGATCCGTTTTGGTACTACATAGTTAGTCCCATTTACTAACTTCCTGTTAATGACGATTTGGTTAAGACAGAGTAGATATTCATTCATTGACCGCGTTTAACTGAAAAATCAACTTTTCTGGTAGGCGTTACTGTACTGAAATGGCAGCTGTAATTTTACAAAGGCTTTTATATATGAAAGAACTTGATTTAAAATGAGAACATCTCGCTATTTTCTCCATATTTCAGTTAGAAATTAAGATTCATGATTTAATTATGACAACAGGCAGGTTGCATATGATAACTCTTTTTAATCAACTGTGTTATGTCCCCAGGGCCCTTGGCTACAAATGCTAGAAATCCAGTCCATTGTCTACTATATACTGGGCCGGGAGCCCAGAGGGGATTATGACTTTGGCGACCACTGGCGTGAACCTTGGGAATTCGACTATTAAGTAAATGAAAATGAAAAGTTGTTGCGAGGAGGAACGAGACAACGGAAACATTATTATAATATATTGTAAAATCCTATATATTTTCATGTGGCCAAAGTTTGGTGTTCAAAAAAGCTTCTCGTAGTTGACACGACTACCTGGATCAGCACGAGATCAATAAATCTACTCACTTCTTATTCAAACAGATCGCAGACATTTGAACCATGGATAAAGAGTAAAAAACCCACAAGAATACAACTATAATGAGGATAACTATGATTTTACATTGGATTGACCTACACACAACTGATTACAAAAAAGAAAACAAAACCCCGTTCAAGATTAGTAACAGATAATACATTTTTCTCCTTCTTGCTTCCTGCCCTTGCCCATTTTTTTCTGTGTCAAATGAAAATCAGAAAAATGCACATATTTCTAAGGTTCTAAATTTTACGCAAATGTATATGTATCTTTAAAACACGTGTTCTGATATCGTTCCGCCTATCATCAAAAGTATCGATTTTTCTGATAATGCTTTGGCTAGGCCTGTATATAATCATATAACAGTGATAGTAACTAGTGTGTGATGCCAGTGGCGGGTTGTCACAATGGCTAGTAGTAATGTCACAACTTCAAATGTTGGTTTCACAAAACCGGTAAATGTCATTGTCGGACTGGTGTTTCTCTTGACCGCTGCAGTTGGCATACTTTTCAATGGATGCATAATAATTGTATTCTTAAAAAAACGTCAAAAATTGCTGAATCCGACCACGTGTTTTATCCTGGCGTTAACATGCTTGGACTTTTTCATGTCTCTCGTCAATATGCCCATGGTGATTGTATCTAGTTTTCTTGGGGACTGGGCGTTTGGGATCCCAGGATGCATCTTTTACGGATTTACAATGACATTTACTGGCCTAACTATTATTGCTATACTGACCATGATATCATTTGACCAGTACATCGTCATGGTGAAATCACACCTGAAATGTAAGAGAACGATACGTATTGCGATTCTGGCTTGTCTGATGTGTTTCTTGTGGGGTCTATCATGGGCTGTTGGTCCTCTAGTTGGCTGGAATTCGTATGTGTTTACCATTGAAGCTGTACATACTTCTTGTGCCGTGAACTGGAACAGCAAGAAGGTCAGTGATCTCCTCTTCACAATGTCGTTGTTGGTGTTCTGCTTTTTGCTGCCGTTTTCCTTCGTTTCCTTCTTCTACGTCAACATCTATTTGAAGGTAGGTATTTTTACTTATACAACAACAACAACAACAACAACAACAACAACAACAACAACAACAACAACAACAACAACAACAACAACAACAACAAAACAAAATTCGCCACGTTTACTTAAAGCATTTGTTTAACTATCCAGACTGTTTTCCGTGCAATGGCCATCCGTCTTCAGCAAATGTTTTACACAATATCTACTATCAAATCGTATATTTTAGTGTGACTTAAGTGTCGTCATTCAAAAAGGGAAAAAATATAATTCTTGGACACTTGATTTTCTAAATAGATATAAAGATCTACAAAATAGTTTATAATTATTTCAACAGTTTATCGACATAAGAAACTCATAGATTGCGAATTTTCCACGAAAATAATGGTTTTATAGTATTAGGAAATTAAGCGAACCTCTGTTCTCTGTTATAAACAGCATTGTATGAGGTGGTGGGGTTAGAAACAGTATTCAGTTGTATGATACAGGTACCGTACAGTATTCAGTTTGTATGATACAGGTACCATACAGTATTCAGTTTATATGTTACAGGTACCGTACAGTATTCTGTTTGTATGTTACAGGTACTGTAAAGTATTCAGTTTGTATGATACAGGTACCGTTCATTATTCAGTTTGTATGATACAGGTACCGTTCATTATTCAGTTTGTATGATACAGGTACCATACAGTATTCAGTTTATATGTTACAGGTACCGTACAGTATTCTGTTTGTATGTTACAGGTACTGTACAGTATTCAGTTTGTATGTTACAGGTACCGTACAGTATTCTGTTTGTATGTTACAGGTACTGTACAGTATTCAGTTTGTATGATACAGGTACCGTTCATTATTCAGTTTGTATGATACAGGTACCATACAGTATTCAGTTTGTATGTTACAGGTACTGTACAGTATTCAGTTTGTATGTTACAGGTACCGTACATTATTCAGTTTGTATGATACAGGTACCGTACAGTTTATATGATACAGGTACCATACAGTATTCAGTTTGTATGTTACAGGTACCGTACAGTTTGTATGTTACAGGTACCGTACAGTATTCAGTTTATATGATACATGTACCGTACAGTATTCAGTTTGTATGTTACAGGTACCGTACAGTATTCAGTTTGTATGATACAGGTACAGTTCATTATTCAGTTTGTATGATACAGGTACCATACAGTATTCAGTTTGTATGTTACAGGTACCGTACAGTATTCAGTTTGTATGATACAGGTACCGTACAGTATTCAATTTGTATGTTACAGGTACCGTACAGTATTCAGTTGGTATGATACAGGTACTGTACAGTATTCAGTTTGTATGTTACAGGTACCGTACAGTATTCAATTTGTATGTTACAGGTACCGTACAGTATTCAGTTTGTATGATACATGTACCGTACAGTATTCAGTTTGTATGATACAGGTACCGTACAGTATTCAGTTTGTATGTTACAGGTACCGTACAATATTCAGTTTGTATGTTACAGGTACCGTACAATATTCAGTTTGTATGATACAGGTACCATACAGTATTCAGTTTGTATGTTACAGGTACCGTACAGTATTCAGTTTGTATGATACAGGTACTGTTCATTATTCAGTTTGTATGATACAGGTACCGTTCATTATTCAGTTGGTATGATACAGGTACTGTACAGTATTCAGTTTGTGTGTTACAGTTACCGTATAGTATTCAATTTGTATGTTACAGGTACCGTACAGTATTCAGTTTGTATGATACAGGTACCGTACAGTATTCAGTTTGTATGTTACAGGTACCGTACAGTATTCAGTTTGTATGATACAGGTACCGTACAGTATTCAGTTTGTATGATACAGGTACCGTACAGTATTCAGTTTGTATGATACAGGTACCGTACAGTATTCAGTTTGTATGTTACAGGTACCGTACAATATTCAGTTTGTATGTTACAGGTACCGTACAATATTCAGTTTGTATGATACAGGTACCATACAGTATTCAGTTTTTATGTTACAGGTACCGTACAGTATTCAGTTTGTATGTTATAGGTACCGTACAGTATTCAGTTTGTATGATACAGGTACCGTTCATTATTCAGTTGGTATGATACAGGTACTGTACAGTATTCAGTTTGTATGTTACAGGTACCGTACAGTATTCAATTTGTATGTTACAGGTACCGTACAGTATTCAGTTTGTATGATACAGGTACCGTACAGTATTCAGTTTGTATGTTACAGGTACCGTACAGTATTCAGTTTGTATGATACAGGTACCGTACAGTATTCAGTTTGTATGTTACAGGTACCGTACAGTATTCAGTTTGTATGATACAGGTACCGTACAGTACTCAGTTTGTATGTTACAGGTACCATACAGTACTCAGTTTGTATGTTACAGGTACCATACAGTATTCAGTTTGTATGTTACAGGTACCGTACAGTTTGTATGATACAGGTACCGTACAGTATTCAGTTTGTATGATACAGGTACCGTACAGTATTCAGTTTGTATGATACAGGTACCGTACTGTATTCAGTTTGTATGTTACAGGTACCATACAGTATTCAGTTTGTATGTTACAGGTACTGTACAGTATTCAGTTTGTATGTTACAGGTACCATACAGTATTCAGTTTGTATGATTCAGGTACCATACAGTACTATTAAGATATACAGTATGTTCGTATCTCTTCACCAAAGTCAATAACATGTAAATAAAAGGATAGGTTCTGACTTAAATCGACACCTCCTGGCCAGTTGTTAAACTACACAATATTAAAGACACCCTCTTACCCCTAACCCACCACCTCCACCCACCTCCGCTATTTATGTATATATTAATCATATATGAACACAGTCTAGGGTACCTACTCATGGCCTTGTTTTAAATGACAGTGGTAACATATGCTATAATGTTTTTCACGCAACTGTCACATGTTCCAGTCACGTTGATATTTATTTAACCGAGTTTCACCTTAATTGTTGTGATTTTAATATCGAAATACACTTTAACTTATACAGTTGAAACTCGTTTTCTCGAAATCGCTTGAGTCGATATTCCGCTTGAGTTGAAATAATTTTCAAGTCTCGGCTTTTTTCCTTCTATATCTTTGTAATTTTAGTTCGGATGTTTCAGCGAGTCAAAATTTCGGTTGAGTCGAAGCGAATTTTCAGTCTGTATTGATTCAGGAGTTTCCCAGGGTTTCCCAAATAAAACCTCGACGTCTGGTCAATGGTGTGAGACACCCTGGTCAATGGTGTGAGACACCGTGGACAGGATTAGTAACAGTGATGGCTTTACTGGTGTTGATGTTTTCATAACCAGTTCATTGATATAGTAAGCCATCTCGATCCGGTTCCTGTTTAAATGATTTGATGACGTATCTGTAAAGAAGAGCTAGTTTAAGTCAGGCTTTTTCCTAGACTTTGGTAATGTGTTTTTGAGCACGTCTTCCAAACTTCCGGTTCTATAAAGTTTCATGTGGTGTTTTAAAATCGTTTCTATCTAACCTGTTTAGTCGTCATTGAATAGTTTACTCCAAAACAACAAACAAGATTAAGTAATGAAAGATATAGGTTGTCCTCCAAGTGGATATAAAGCGTGTCGTTAAAAGCACGAAGACACATAATTAAATTACTTTTGTACCATGAAGTTTGATTGGTTAAATGATAAATAATTAGGTTATTTTCTGTATGAACGTGGAATTTCTTTCATCGTCGTCTACAATCGTTAACAAGAAAGATGACCTTGACCCCTACCCCAGCACTCAAGCTGCTTCCAATCACTGTGTCTCTTGAATCCGTCCTTTTTATATTAATGTTGATATTAAAGATTAATGTTGCGCATTGTTTCTGAGATGGATTTCTATCATGAAACGAATATGAAAAGACAGGCGGGTCACTTGTCCAACCAGTATGTTTTCCCTGGACACATCAGTTTTCTCCCACATTAAGACCCCTCACGCGCTTACATCCGGGCCATCAAGAATCATTGGTGTAAGTTGCAATAGCTTGTTTCGAAATTGGTTGTAAAATACATAAAGTTTATCTTAAAAAAAAAATGAAAAAAAAAAAAAAACAATTAAACACCTGATTGAAATTAGGTAGAACGGTTTGGACTGATAGCAACATTCCACAGAGTATTGTGGTACCCTTAAATGAGGTCAACTATTAGTAATCTGTGAGCTGTTTACTTGAATGACAACTCTTGTGGACGTTGTGGTTACTGTTAAACTGGGATTTTTTTTTTATCAATGGTCAAAAGTCACTTTTTTGGAACGGACTTTGAAAAATTCATTTCATAAATTGATCAATTTCATTCCATCACATATATTTTTTGAGTTTCGAGAGAAGGCATTTTTTACAGTCGGCATAATGATATCATTGTGGAGTATTCTATTTCATTGTGCCATGTGAAGTCAGAAGTGTTTGATGATAACTGCTAGTAAACATGTTGATTCATTCATTGTTTACTGTGTTGCCAAGCGAGAACCCGACAAAACATGGAGTGACCAAGATTTTCATGAATACGGGCCCAGGTCAACTCTTCTTGTCCTTTTCCAGGGGTCTCCGTGTGATCATTTCTTTTAATATTTTCTTATCTCTATTTTATTGATTTTTCGCAGTTTTGATAGATAGACTGTTACTGTGTTGGTTCTGTCTTTATTGTTGTTCGTTAATACTCGTACTCCTGGGATGTTTAACAATCAAAGATTTCTGCTTCTCGATTTCCTCTCGACATGTACGTGATTTCCGTTTGAGTAAGCAATGGTCTCGTTTATCATTCTGTTGACATGTTGGTATTTTATTGTTGTTTAGGTAGGTGTCTATTCCGGACTGTTTTGTATTTGTCGGAGTAGAGTGCAAACGGTTTTTATTTTATTTTCCAGGTGAAGAGGTCACCCCGTATCAACACGAAGTCATCAAATAAAAAACGACAAGAACGCCGGCAAAAATACATCGCCAAGACTATATTCTTCATGCTTGGTATGTGTCACAGAGTTATTTCGAAATCGATTAACTACCAGCCTAAATGCTTACTATACAATACGACAACCTACATGCCTTGCAATTAAAAAACGATATGACTAATAGCAAGAAGTAGACAGGTCGTTGTTGTAAATGGAATTCCACCAACAAATTGTCAGTTCCTAGTGATATTGGTCTCTCGATTTCTTTTCTCGATGAGGGCGGGGGCGTGTGCGGGGGTTGGCGAGGGCGTGTAAATAAAAGATGCATAAGAATTTACATAAGGAATATTTTTTAAAAAAATTGTCCAAGACACAGTAACAGACCGATTAAATTAAGTTTTATTAGTTTTTGAGTAACTTGGCTGATCCCGTATTATTCATTTACAGGTGCTTTTTTACTGTCATGGTGTCCGTATGCCATTGTGGTGATATGGTCAGCTATCGGAGACTCCAGAGACCTTCCGAATCTGGTAGTAATATTACCGGCATTATTCGCTAAAATCAGTGTCATTTGGAACCCACTTATCTACGCATTCCGTAACCGCGAACTGAAAAATTCGTGGAAAGCCATCTTTCATTCAGATCGGGAAACGGAAGCAGAGCCCACATGATGTCTTAAATCATCGGCTTAAGTCAGTGAAACATCACTGGGGCGGATTACAACGAATGATATCAACATTCCACAAGTGAACAGTTTGTTATAAGACTTTTCGCAGATATTCTAAATATTTTGTAAGAAAGTAAACAATTTTTTATCGCGGACTTTGTGGTGCTATTATACATATCGACGGTGATATCTGGAATCAAATGAAAGACTGTTTTTTCTCCCATCACTGATACTAATGTACGGTAACACAGAGTTCATAATCAAATGCAACGGTGAAAGAAGCGAGGTACGTAACACAGTCAAGTACATATACTTAGTAATCTACCTCCTTAAATAGATTCAAGATTATGTCGAAATAAATAAAATCAGTATTCAACAGAAGTTGGGAGTTTGATTTTGAAAGCTTTCAGAGAGTCTGCTTTGAGAGTCTGTTCTATAGTTGTTTGGAAAGAAAAAGGATATCAACTGAGGTCATCACGAACTTGGATTTCTATTGAAGCCTTCTTTGTTTATAAAGACAGATGCCGCTTGCAAGCTTTGACGGCGTTTGAGTGTGACGTAACATCTTATCGTTACGTCATGATAGTATCGGTTACTGAGTGCACTCATAAGGGGTAGTTAAATCACATGAGTGTACCATATGAATTGTGCTTTATTACAGAGGTGAGAGAATCGTGTCATCATATGTTGAATTGAGAGGATCATATGACGACGGTATTAAACAATTCTGTACTGTAGTACTGTAGTCTTATATTAATTTGTCTACAATGAACTGTTGTGCTGATTCAAAAGATAAGCACTGCCTCACACTTATTTCCTGTAGCATTTCAAATGTTAAGGAAATGAATCGCCTCGTTTTTTCTGTTTTAGAAACTCTCTTGGTATTCAGTACTGTTATCATCGGAATCCTAATTATTTTTTCCTTTAGATAAAATAGAGTGGTGGCTTGGAACAACCTTTTTGCACTCAAAACGCGAAAGGACGGCGCATTGAATGAGAATAGCTTCACAAGCTACAAAACTGTAAACAACCAATCCATTTGACTCCCATTAGTATTAAAGAGGTTTACTGTCATGCCAGGAACGATTTCAGCTTTAACGTATTTATCGATGACCGAACATTACCAATAAGTATGTGTCCTACAGATAAAATATCAATTTCCATTGGCGCCATTGAATCAATGAAGATGAATTAGTAAGTTTGGACGACAATCGTTTTGTCAGAGATGTTTCTTTACAAGCCCGATCAATAATTTGTAGAGTATGATAAGTTTGTCATGGTAACCAAGACGACCAGCATGTGTTGATAAATGTTTAATGGTTACCTAGACAACATGTGTATGATAAGTGTGTGATGGTTACCTAGACAACATGTGTATGATAAGTGTGTGATGGTTACCTAGACAACAGGTGTATGATAAGTGTTTAATGGTTATAATATAAACTTTATTTATTTTACAACAATTGCGAAACAGTTATGTCATCTTATACTAATCACTCTTGTTGGCCCGGATTTAAGCGCGCGAGGGGTCTTATTGTGGGAGGAAACCGGAGTACCCGGGGAAACCCACGTGCTCGGGCAGGTGACCCCTTACCTTTTCACGTCCGTTCCGGGAATCGAACCCTGGTCGGCTAGGTGAAAGGCGAGTGCGTTACCACTGCGCCACCCGACCACCTTACCTGGTTACCTAGACAACATGTGTATGATAAGTGTTTAATGGTTACCTAGACAACATGTGTATAATAAGTGTGTCATGGTAACCTAGACGACCAGCATGTGTATGATAAGTATGTGATGGTTACCTAGATAACATTTGTATGATAAGTGTGTGATGGTTACCTAGACAACATGTGTATGATAAGTATGTGATGGTTACCTAGACAACATGTGTATGATAAGTGCGTGATGGTTACATAGATAACATGTGTATGAGAAGTGTTTAATGGTTACCTAGACAACATGTATATAATAAGTGTGTGATGGTTACCTAGACAACATGTGTATGGTAAGTGTGTGATGGTTACCTAGACAACATGTATATAATAAATGTGATGATTTTATACGCTGTGCAGAGTGGCTGTCAAAACAGTGTTTATAAACGATGTTGTTAGTAGTTACGATAACGGGTTCAAAAATGTATGACATTATTCAACTCACTTATATCATATACGATTTGTACTATCCGCCTCTCTACCATATTCCTACCTAATGGAAAGCCCATCTTTTCCTTTTTCTTTTATTCACTATTATTACTTAATAATTTTAAGAATATTATACATGTGTAGTAAAAAGGGAAAAATCAATCAAATGTGGCGAAGGTGTATTAGTAGGGTGATTGATATCAGCCTTACCTACTTGGATTGACCAAGATTTACATAGCGGGTGTCGTCGATGAAGCAGAAGACGCTTACTCTTCAAGAACATCTGGTCTTATTCTTCTCCTACTTTCCCACGAGTTTCCCTGTAATTATTTATTCATATTCTGTCCTTGATTTAATAAATCCGACTTTTGATTGTAAATATGTTGGCTTGTTGGTGCTTTGATTTTTGATTAAGAACTTTTCATCTGTTTATTTTTGTGTGCTATTTCCCGGATTTTTGTAATGTAAACCTATCAAAAATATTTCGTTTTCCTCCCAAAATAATTAATTTCAATGACAACCTGATGTCTTTGATGTTTTTATCACATTTCCGTTTCGAATAAAAACTGGTTTGGTATAGCTCTTTCTTGTATAAACATTTCGCGGTATATATATTTTTTTACAACTTCGTCATTTCATTTCAACTTTTTTGTATAAAAGAATGCTCATACAAATTCATACTGGTGTTATAATACTTGATATCATTTAATAGAAATATTTGGAAACAATGAACAAATTGTATTTTAATTGGCTGTTGAAGTTGAACTTTGTCCTGAAACATGAATATGCAATAACATAATTTGGATAAATATCGTGTAATGTTTATATATATATCATGTATATATACATATCTTTATTGTTCGATAGTAAAATGTTATCTCAAGAATTCAATGGTATTTGTGTTATTTTTGCTGGATAAAGTTAAATTCCTATTGAAAATACGTTTCATACCTGTTGGAGATTTCGTCTGCTGCCATGCTAAACAGGCTTAGTCCATAGTGACATAACCGCGACACGAGCCAGTCCTAATTCTAATGTTTCATTTTCTACCTTGTAAACAAATGTATGTACGTACTGTGATTTTGTAAGAGTGACCTTTTTGAACTTGGAAGAAAGCCAGTATCATTGATATTCCTTAAAGTCTTACCAAACAATCTGCTGGCAAAATACCACAATCCTGTGATCTTGAAGCTCAATGGACCTGCATCTCTCACCTGGTTGTTCCATGATCAAAACTGAATAAGTGTTTAGCACTCAATCCAAAGTGGGCACATTCAATCAATTCTAAACAATCACCACAACACTGTTAAGCTTCTATCACTCAGCTCTAAACAGTGACAGTTATGACTTGGAAATGTTGAAATTTGTCGGACTTGGGTTAAGAACAATTTTTCCATTAAATATCCCTAAATATGCTGCTTCTCATACTTTTGGTTTACCAGAAGAAGTCTTTTAATGGTTTTAACATTTTAATCCCCATAATCTTGAATATGGGTCAAGGTCATTTCTTTTTTGCAAATTTGTCAGACTTTATCCTAGAAATCTAAGAGGCAAATATTTTGATTCTGTGCCTTTCAATTAGTCGTCAGTAGCTGTTTTAAGGTTTTAAGAAACTTGACCCTTGTGACCTTGAACTTTAAGGTTTTAACAAACTTGATCCCTGTGACCTTGAATAAGGGTCAAGATCATTTGTTTTCGCACCCTATGTAGGGCGTCAGCCTCACAACCTATCACCAAATACCATGCCTCTATGTCCTTTGGTTAGTCAGAAGAAGTCGACTCATGTGACCTTGAATATGGGTCAAGGTAATTTCCTTTTGGAAAAATTTTGTTGGGCTTCAGGTTAGCAACCTACAAGCCATATCTCAAGCCTTTATACCTTAATAAGAAGAAGTCGTTTCAAGGTTTAGATAAGTTTGACCTCTGTGACCTTGAATAAGGATCAATGTCCTTTCTTGTCGCTTTTTTTGTCGGATTTTAATCCTTGCCTCAAGGCTTTTTGGTTATTGAGAAAAGGGTTAGAGGGGAAAAGGTGACGCCGTCCGGACGACGGACGACGAACGACGAACGGATGACGGACATTGCGCCATGGCATAAGTTCACAAACAATAACAAATCAAACCAACAAAAATCAAAAATAAAAAAAAAAAAAAACAACATTATTTGGCATTCTATAAAATTCAATTTCGTAATTTTTCAAGTGGAGTATATAAAAGCATAATTCTAACCTGACATCTGAAGTACAAACTTAAAGATAACATTAGATTTCCATACAACAAGCAGTTACTATACATTGAGTTAATGGAAATTATCGGTTTATTACTTGTAGTCGTGCATGTTGAAGAAAAAGTTTTGAAAATTTGTGTCCAATTTTAGCAGGTATTTATTTGCAATAAAATAATATTATTTTAATACCAAATTAAAGATTACAAGAAGTTATGAATGTGGCTTTGTTTAAACAATTAACCGTTATGTGTCTGATAAAATCTACCCAGTTAAGCAGAAAGTGTCAGAATGATTTCTAACAAGATTCAAGCAGGATCATTGTCTGAAGCTGCAGGATCTTAACCTACACCACGGGACTGCAGAGGGGTTCACTGCCGGGATCTTAACCTACACCACGGGACTGCAGAGTGGTTTACTGCCGGGATCTTAACCTACACCACGGGACTGCAGAGGGGTTTACTGCCGGGATCTTAACCTACACCACGGGTCTGTAGAGTGGTTCACTGCCGGGATCTTAACCTTCACCACGGGACTGCAGAGTGGTTCACTGCCGGGATCTTAACCTTCACCACGGGACTGCAGAGGGGTTCACTGCCGGGATCTTAACCTTCACCACGGGACTGCAGAGGGGTTCACT